TGAACAGCCACCGTCAATTAAAATCAAACCAGGCTGATTTTGATTTGATAACTTTTAGGTAAAATGTTCACTAGCCCTTTCTGATTTCTTGAGTCATCCAGCATCTCCACAACTATTTTTTATTATGATAATGGCTTGAAAAGGAGCTGTGTTTAGTTTTTTAATTACGGTTATTGTTCAAACATTTTAGAAAGATTTTCGCTACTAAAATAATGGTATCTAAGAAAACACTGCCAGCCAGGAGATCAAATTTTGCTACTCCTGCTGTGATAGGAGCAGGACTGGATGATCCCGAAGGCCATTTTTCCGTCAGTAACTCAAAACCAACCTTCTCGATGATTACAGTTTTCCATTTGTCAAGTTGCACGAAGCAAGTTATTTTTAGTGGAGATCCTTGAACTCCAGAAACCTGTTTCAAGAGAGATCAGCTTGAACCCATGGCTTAATGCACATGTGACACCGGGCTGTGGTGATTCTTCAGCTTGCAGCAGTAATAAAAAGCAATGCTAGAAGTATTACCACGCCAGAATTTAAAATATTCATCATTTGTAATTTTGACATAGTGCAGCATTGCCTAATTTCCTTTTTCCCGACTCTTCCCTCCCCTCCTTGTCTCCTTCCTTTGGTAAGACCTAGGCAAAAAGAGTAGCGGTGGCTGGGACGGATTATGTGACCCTGGGGAGCGAGACTTAGACACTGAGTCACTCTGGAATTGCCACTCCGGGGTGAGATGTGACACGATACGTCTGCTCTTTTGGGAAGGAAGCAGGAGCTGAAGCTCGGCCCGGCGAGGGGAGGAGGTTGCTCAGAGCTAAGCCCAGCGCCGAGCCGTGCTTTGCTTCCAGCTGGGCTCCCCCCATCAAGGCGTGCGCCTCGGCGGCTGCAAATGGCTATGCCACCATTTAAACCCAGGTGAAAATGAAAATCGCTATTTGGCTATCGGTTTGCTTCTTCAGAAATACAGTATAGACTGGGGCTGCATGGTTGCAGGGATAGCGATGGTATGAGAAGCCTTTCGGCCCTTGGGCAGCATTTTCAAAGGCGCTATTTTGAAAAGGCTGTAGTTTAAAGGGTGTCGTCTCTGCTGAGCTGCCACGGTAAAAATCTCATTCCCAGGAGATGTCTCTGCCGTCCCAGAGCAGTTGTCGCATTGACCATCAGTGGCTGTCTCGAAAGACCACAGAAACGAGAAGCATGTAGTCTGAACTTGCCTTTTTACCTCCTAAACAGAGCTGGAGTTAGGGTGACAAGACACAGCAGTGAGTTTGTCTCATAATTTTCCGTTGCCTTACAATCTACATCTTTTCAGGTAAAAAATGCTGCTCGAAGAGGTAAGCTCCAAGTATTCATTGTCGATGTGGCGCAGTCCCTGGGGGAGTTTAAGGAAAGAAAAGTGGACTCTTCCCCTCCCTCTTCAGCAAAACCAGCTGCCTCCGGGCACGCTGCCCCCGCTCAGCAGCATCGCCGCTTTCT